CTCCGACAGATTAATTAAATTGATGAACCTCCAACCAGAAAGATGAATGCAAAGAGAGAAGGCATAAATTATACAAAGAAATCAAAAGAGGGGACACAACTACAGATCTTATGATCATGAGGATCGCACAGGACTGGGCAGCATTTTGCTGTGTTATACATAAGGTCGCCATTAGCTGGAGGTGACTAACAACAGCAACAACATGGGAGACATTGCTGAAATACAAGCAAAGAGTAAAATGTTCTGAAAAACTGAATGCTAATAACTTTTGCAATCTTGGTCAAAACAAATTATTGAAAGCAACAAAGATCACTCAAAAAAAATTAATTAATAAAAGATATCCTAAGAAGATATCTAGTAAGTCCATGTGTTAACAAGGATATAGATGAAATGAAACTCTCAAACAATTTTAGGAAGGAAAATGGTGCAAACCTGTTGAAAATGTTCTGCCGAGATTTTATTTTTAAAGTTAAACATACACTTCACCTATGATCCAGCAATTTCACTTGAATTCCACAAAATTGAAAATGTACGTACACATAGCTTTTTGCACAAGATTTTTCATAATTCTTTTCCAGAATAGAAAAATTCTGGAGACAATCCAAATGTCCATAAACAGATGAATCGATCAGGAAATTGTGAAATATGTACTCACTTGTGAAGTGAAGCATTGATAGAAGAAAAACTAAGCTATGATATTGGAAATCAGGCGTCTGAAAGTGAGTACTCATGGGATGAAGGAAATATTGTCCTGGTTGGTGTGGTGTGTTCACAGATGCATATATTTCTCAAAGTCATTGAACTGTGCATGCAAAACCTGGGCAGTTGAATGCAAGTGAATTATGCTTCACTTATAAAATAACACAAAAAGAACAGATGAAATCACCACCTTGACATACACAGCCAGATGTTAACTAACAATTGAACGGATAAACAAATTGTGGCATATCCATACACTTACTACTCATGAATGAAAATAATAAACTCTTGAAAAATGCTACAGCATGGATGAATTTCAAAATAATTATGTTAAATGAAAGAAATAAGAAAAAAATGTATGATTCCATTTATAAAAAAAAATTCTAGAAAATGCCAAATGATGATGATAGAAGGTAGATCCGTGGTTGTCTATAATTGGGGATAGGTGAAGGGTGGGAAAAGGGGCTATAAAGGTGATTAATGAAACTTTTGAAGGTAACAGTTGTATTCATTATTTATAATTGATGGTTTCACAGGTATATACACATATAAAAAGTTAAAAAATTATATGATTTAAATATGTACAGTTTATTTTATGTCAAGTGTATCTCAAGAAATGGTTTTAAAAGGGAGAAAAAGTAAACTTCCATATTCGGATGGAGTTGTCTTCAAAAAAACCAACAGAATATGTACCCAGTGATGAAATGATTAAAGCTGTTACTGCGACACAGGTCAATGAGACCATGATGCCCAATAACACTTTTTCTCCTCAATTTTGAGCTGAGCAGTCTTTCAAGTAAATAAATAAATAAACTAGGTATAAATTGTAACAGAAGGAATAAAACTGACACAGGTCATACATGATTAAATTTTGTGGCAGAAAGTCAAAAGGAACTTAAAGGCAAATTACTAGAATTACTAAGTGTGTTTAGAAAGATTGCTGGACACAAGGTCAATGTCCACATATCATTAGCGAAGGATAAATTAGAAACATCAGAAAAGGAAATATAAAAGATAACCGGAGCCAAATCAAACAAACATTTGATTTCAAATTTCAAGACTTCTACACAAAACCATGCTGAGAGAAGATAAATGGAGGATAAAATCCGGTTAAGATATTACATTATTAAGATGTCAATTTTCAACAATTAATCTATTGATTTAACGTAACTTAAATAGAGTCACAGCATGTGTTTTGAGAATATTTATATAGAAATGTAAAGGGCTAAGCGGAGAAGAAGTGAATAAATCCTGAATGAGAACACTACTGCGCTGAATAGACAGAATGAAGAGAAAGCGTCAGAGATTTCGCCCATGTGATATTGATGCAAGAAAAAAGAATAGAAAAGTGAAACACAGTAGCGACCAAGAACACATCCACATACAAATGTACATCGATATCCTTGATTTATGACAAACGTGGCCACAAAGAGGAATAGATAACTGATCATTTTAACCATAAATTATGCTCACTCAATTAGACAATGATGTTCAAAAGTATAAACTTCTATCAGCATCACGAAAAATGAATTTCAATAGATTATACATCTGGAGAAATATATCATAACTGGGCCAATAAGTAACCTCATGATGAATGGAGAAAATATAGAAGTTGTCAAGGATTTCATTTTACTTGGAGTCTTAATCAATGCCCATGGAAGGAGCAGTCAAGAGATAGATGACACATTACGTAGGCAAATCTGCTGCAAAAGATCTCTTTAAAGTGCTAACAAGCAAACAAGTCACTTTGAGGACTAAGGTGCACTTGACCCAAGTCATAGTGTTTTCAGCAGCCTCATATGCATGTCAAAGCTGGAAAATGAATAAGGAAGAGAGAAGTAGAAATGATGAATTTAGATTATGGTGTTGGCGAAGATATTGAATATACCATGGACTGCTAGAAGAACGAACAAGTCTGTTTTGAAAGAAGTACAGCCAGAATGCTCATGAGTAGCAAGGATGAGCAGACTTTGTTTCCCATATTTTGGACATGTTATCAGGGGGGACCAGTCCCTGGAGAAGGACATCATGCTTGGTAAAATAGAGGGTCAGTGAAAAAGAGGAAGACCATCAAAGAGATGGACCGACACAGTGTCTGCAACCATGGACTCAAGTATGACAACAATCGTGAGGACAGCACAGGACCAGGCAGTGTCTCGTTCTGTTGTACGTGGGGTTGCTATGAGGAGGAACTGACTCCACGACACCTAACAATACATCTAAATGTAGGTAAACATTTTCAGAAAAAATTTCAAAAAAAAAGATAAAATATAAAATTGACAGATTAATTTAGTAGATTATCTATACTGAAATTTGATTAATTACTAAAAGAGCTCCAAAATAAGCACTAATAATATAAATGAGAAATTAGACTATGCTAATATTAATCAATTCTATTCATTAAAAGACTCCACTGTGGGAGTAAATATGAAACCACAGAGAAAAGTAAAACTCTTATAAAGTTATCATATCAAAAAGAGATCATATGCAAATTATGTCAAGAATTTATTGGTGGGAAAAGACTGACAATCACAGAGGAAAAAAGGACAACAGACTTGAATAGGCACTTGATAAAAGAAGATGTTCTAGTGGCCAATAGCACATGAAAATGTGCTCCATCTAACAATAATTAGGAAAATGTCTATTAATATAATAATGATACTATCATAGAACAATCAAAACTTCTACTTTTAAAATTTCTCATACTACTAAGTTTTGATGAGGATGTGGATCAAGGGACAGGTTCAAACACTGTTCAATAATCTGTGTATGTGTGCTATGAACTAGTAAACTGTTGGGATAATTTAAAAATATTGACATGTACATACACCTATAACCCTACATGATCCTACCATTTCATTCCTGTGCATCTAGGTAATATATGGACAAAAGACATCCAGAAAGATATTTAGAGAATAATTACACATAATAGCTAAATAGTAGCTAAGTATTATCATAATAGTTAAATTTCTATTCACCACAGGATGGATTTTAAAATGTTTATTTACATAACAATGAGTTACTAGCAGTACAAATGGTTAAGCACTTGGTCACTAATGGAAAGTTTGAAGGTTGAAGACTACCCAGATGTGCCCGGAAAGACAGGCCTGGCAACCTACTTCTGAAAGTTACAGCCACTGAAAACTCCTGAAGTGCAGTTCCGCTCTGAAACACATAGGCCTCCAGTCGGAATCATCTCCATGGCAACTGCTTAGGTTTTTTCTTTATTTTTGGTGGGTTTACTTACACAACACAGCACTGAAAATGAACGAACTGCAACTAACCACAACAGTATGGTTCACCTGCACAAATACCATATGAGAGTCAAAGGAGATACTAAAAATGCATGCCATATGATGCCATTTATACAAAGTTCAAAACCGAGTAAAGCTAATCTGTAATAAAAGTCAGGAGAGTGGTTTGGGAAGAAGAAGAAGTGATAAGAGCATACACAGGGGCAGAGCTAATGTGGGAAGGGTGGCTAGCATTTTCTATTTCTTCACCTGGTTCGTAATTACATGGGTCTATTCATCTTGTGATTAATCTTCACAATTTTGATTTATTTGTTTATGGCCAAATGAAACAACAGAGTTTATTTAAGGAAAAAAAATGTATGGAAGCCTTGTTTTTCATAAATAGCAAGAACTGGAAATAAACCAATGTATTTTAATGGTATAAAATATAAATAAAGCATTGTAAGTCCAACAATGGAGTACTATGTAGCCTGGGAAAAAATGAAGCACAACTCTGGAAAAATTAGTCTTAGAAGAATCACAATCAGAATGCTCCTTGGAAGCAAGGATGGCGAGACTTTGGCTTGTTTACTTCAGACACGTCATCAGGAAAGACCAATCACTAGAAAGGACATCTCGTTTGGCAAAGCGGAGGGCCAGTGAAAATGAGAGAAACGTTCAGTGAGATGAATGGACAACAATGGACTCAGAGACACCACTGACCATTAAGATGGCACAGGACCAGACAACGTTTTCCTCGTTCATAAGGTCTCCAGGGGTCGGAGTCAATTCAAGGGCAACTAACAACAACATGGACAAAAATGTGGGTGAATCCTAAAAACACAATATCAACTGAAATATGTCAGACACTAAACACTTCATGTAGTATAATTCTCTTTATAGAAGCTTGCTAAGCAGGCAAATCTTTATAGTTTAAGATGCGTAGGAAACATATGGCACATCAGTAATGTTTCTCGATAGTTGTTATTCACTCAAATATATTTTGTATCCATTTGGTTTTGTATGTTATACCTTTCAATAAAATACTTCAAATATTTGAAATCTTACCATTTCTTCTTCATTGTCCATATAAAACAGACTAGAATTCTTAGAAACACAGGCCATCCGACTCTCAGTCCAGTTTTTTATATCACTGCTAATATAATAGCAATGGTTGGAATAGGAGAACCAGTCCTCTGGACAACGGTGACAATGATTAGCTGAAAAAAGGATATGAGTCACTATCCAGGAACAACTGGAATTAAAAAATATAAATTAGTTGACATATTTGCATAGGCGTTAAGTGTATATCTACATAACCTATATATGCAATCTCATGCACTCACACATACATAAAAAAAAGCACATCCACACAGAAAAGGTCAGCCTCCCATCCCATAATTTATGTACAATTAAAAAGCAAAAAACAAAAGCTCTATCCTATACACGTCCTGAAAATCACTGACCAGCACCACTTTATTAGAATAACAAAGTTATTTCTTATCATGCTGTTGTTATTGTTGTTAGGTGCTGTCGAGTCCATTTTCAACTCATAACAACCCAATATGACACAGTAGAACTTCCTCATAGAATTTTGTAGGCAGAGCCCTGGTCGCACAGTAGTTACGAGCTTGGCTGCTAAGCAAATGGTCGGCAGTTCAAATACACCAATCACTCCTTGGAAACCCTACAGCGCAGTTCTACTCTGTCTTATAGGATCACTATGAGTTGGAATCCACTCAACAAGAACGAGTTTTGTTAGTATGGTTTTGTTTAATCTTTACAGGAGCAGTAGGAACTTTGAGGCAGTTGTCAAAAGAAGGCTATAGTGATTGTAAAAGCATATTTCCTCTAACTTTTCAACAAGCAGGAGTTCCTCATCTGATCTTTATTTATGAAAATTTATTGCTTTATTTTTGAAGGTTTTAAAAAATGTGTTATTATTTCTTCATAACATAAAATAGAGAAAAAATACAATCTTAATATATTAGCCCTGGTGGTGCAGTGCTTAAGAGTTTGTCTGCTAACCAAATTGTCGGCAGGTGAAATCCACCAGTTACTCCTTCGAAACTCTATGGGGGCAGGTCTAAACTGTTCTATAGGGTCTCTAAGAGTTGGAATTGACTCGCTGGCAATGAGTTTGGTTTTGGTTTATATGAGAACTTTTAAAATTATGACATACCTTTCTGAGTTCTGTTCTCGTCCATGATTTCATTAGCTAGAAGGATTGTAGTGATTATTATAGAGATTAATATTCCTTTAATAAATCATAATAATTTTAGTTTCCTAGTTTTAAATTTAGTATAACATTTAAAATTGTAATAATGTATATTAAAAATGATTGAACTAACAAAAAATAGTAATAAAGGCTTTGCAAAAACATATGAACAGTCTAAAGGAGAAATTTTATCACCTCTTACAGTATTTGAATTACCTACATTCCAAGATTAATTTTATTCGCAGTAGGTGTTCTCAGTCTCTCATTGCAAATCTTTGAGATGTGACAAACACACACATGTATACACACACACATACAATACAGACATTTAGAATTATAAACATATAAAATCTGCGATCTTTCTGTGTATTTATACTTTTGAAAATCTCAGAATAACTCTTCCACATTTAATGCACATTGAGGCGGCATTCTTTATTTACTAAGACTAAAAAACCCGGTAAACATATCACACAAATGCATACATTAAAATGAGCATTCTATTCCATAAAATGTGAAATATACAGAGGCACTTTCACACCTTTAAAAGGAATATTCCTTGATAATCTTTCAAAAACTTACAGTTATTACTTGTGACTGTCACGGTTATTACACCGGCCGTCAAGACAAGGCAGATGAGTCCCAGGGTCCCAGCAATGAGCTTCCCTGGAGGTGATGGGTGATGTGCAGACAGAGAAATGGAAACACTGAGAAAGGATGGATGGAGCCAGTGTTCAGAGTGTTTACATACAGGAGAACCCAGGTGCACAGGGAATCATGTACAGAAATACTGGACATTGAACCCACAGTCCACATTGTAATTTTTCTCTCAGAATATACTATTGCATTTTCAGTAAAATAATAGCCCATGAGTTGTTCTTCAAAGCCCACAAATTTCAACAATGTCTGAACAGAATTAACCTTCTAATTTCCTAGGAGAACACAATATCCGTACTTCAGGTCTGATCCTCAAAACTGAAAAGCAGTGAGCCTACTCCCTTAATCTGACTACCCTTGCTCCGTGTCTTCATTTTCACTCTTTCCCCACATTTCTGCACCAGAACTGCACATTCTAGTGTAGTTATAATGAGAACTAATCAGATGATTTACCTTTGCAGTGGAAAGTCTTGTCATTCTTTTGACGATCTTGAGAAGCATTATGAAAGTTTAATTCCACATAAGTTATTTCCCGCTCAGTGACTGAAAAGGAGCTATCAGCGTCCTTAGGTTTGATTTGCTGCCTTTTTGGCTTCTTGGCCAGATTCAGTTCTGAGTAAGTTACTGTTTGATTATTCATCTCTGCAGCTGAGGGGTGTCAAGGTCTGTGCTCTATGAGAAACTGGGCTTGAGAAGGAAATACGTGCTGTGTACATGACAAGATCAAACTAGGTGGGGAGGAGGGTAAGTGTCAGTGCTCACTTTACAGCTGAGAATCTAAAGTTCTGGTTCTAATTGACTTAGAGCCTTACACAAATGTCTCAGAGAGGAATAAGTAATTTTTAAAGATATTCTGTCTTCTATAATATATTTTTGGTTGGAGTAATAGAAAGCAATAAATTATTGAAGAAAAAAGAAGTTCATAAATAAGAATATCTTGCATATTAAAAGTCATATTCCACAGAAGTATTTTAAACTATTATAATATGTCAGTTAAAAATTAAAATGCTGTATTGGTAAAATAAAAAAAAATGATGCATTGATTGATGACAATATTGTAATACAATAATGTTGAACAACTGAGTGCTCTAAAGAAGTGGGAATTGGAAGGTTAGCACATATCAAAATTTACTACACTAAAATACCTTAATTTAGTGACTTATGTTTATTTATTAAGAGTTGAAGTTCTATTGTATGATCTTTTTCTTATTAATGAATAGGTGCAGAGTTCTGAGAAATCATTACATTTTTAAGAAAATATGTATCAGAATAATTACACTACACAATAAACAACCATTTAAAGACTATTGGAAACCTGATTTTAAACAATTTAAAGAGTGTATTTCTTATATAAAAATTATTGGCAATCGATTTTATTGCTAAAACAGGGGACCACAAATTGATAAATAGAAGTGCATCCCGTTTATGGAAGAACACTGTCGGTTCCAGCTTCCAGAAAGATCATATGGTTGTCCCAGTCCGTGTGGGTTCCTTTAGTTGTGTAAGTAACTGGTGTAATTCAGTAATGTAGTTTAATAATTTTCTCATTGGACTCTGGGGTCAGTGAGGTCAAAGAATTGAATTCTGGTTTTGAAACTTACAATGCTTAGACCGTTAAAAAGGTGCTTAAAAACTAGTAATCTAATAGTCTAATCTAAAATGGGAATAATAATATATAAAATGGAATGCATGTAAGTACATAACTCTCAACTTGGCAATTACAAGCTCTGAATAGATAATAACAGTTTTAATTAATATTTTCATTACAGTATTTTGTTGGTGCTTCTGATTCGCGTTGGGTAGGAATTGCAAATTAACTCATTAGACAGCGTTCTCTTATATTAGTGTGTTTTTTCCCGGTGGTTTGCTAAATTAATTTAAGTTTTTTGATATTTATTATTAATTTTAGATTAGCACTTTATGGAAGCTACCTCATCCACCTTTTTGAAAAAAGTAAAACCACATGTCCATAATCTTAGTAAGTGAATGACAATTATGTCTGGCCTTGCATCATTCAATCATTATTTTTCAGAATCTAGCAATAAACACTGGGCTAAACGTAGCATATTACATTATGATACAAAGACACTTGTTGAACTACATATAAAATCCAAAATTAATTGCTCATTGTCATGGTGCTTAGGGGATTTTACTTTAAAGTATGTTGATTAACAAGCTCAAATGTGTGTGTGTGTGCATTTGACTAATTCTCCACACGTAATAATTTGAATAAATTAAGAAATCCTCCAACACATTTCATATTCGGGGCTCACTGTTTAGCCCGACTCCAATGTTCACAGTGATTCTATTGTACATTAACAGTCCCTCAGGGCATCATGCACAGCATTTATAACCTCCCACTAAATGAGGTGGGCTAGAACACAGACAGGAGAGCAGTGGTCCATACCTTCTCTCAGTTGGAAAGTCATGCGTCCATCAGTGGGGAGGCCTTGTTAATGTCCCAGAGGGGCCAACTACAGCAGGATAGTAGAAGGCAAAATCTAAAGACATAAATCCTGCAAAAGCACAAAGAATATCTGTCCCCTTCATAGACTACCCTGTGAGGGCTCAGAGTGAGTCAAGAGATGAAAAAGTAGAAGGCTCTTCAATGTGTTATTTCATGTTTGAACAGGAAATCCCCACTTGGGCTATTTTGAAGTCAGTTTATCTCATCACACACCTCCAGAACATAGGAGATGTTGAGCTCCTATTGGAAGGACAAAGTAGATCTTTAAATATGTCATATCGATTCTCTCTTTTGAAGTGTTTTTGATAAATCCTTCTCATATCTTATAGGATTTTGCATTTAGAAGGTTGGATTACCCATGCTGTTAGCTTGTGTCCATTGAACCACAAACTATTAAAACTATTGCCATGTTAACACTACCTTAGATGTCTAAGTCCTGCTTTTAGAATAAACTGCAAAACTGTGGCATTACGTTCTACTTTTCTACGTATTATGTCCAGTTCTGCTCTGAACACACTGGGTCACCAGGAGTCAGGATTGACTTGATGGCAAATAACAACAACAATATTTTCATAGGCTAAATTAATAATCTCATATGTATACATGTGTCTATGCATGTATTTATATGCATCAGAAATGAATTTATTTGCATTTATTATACTTTGTCTTTTTCAGAACCTAAATAATCTTCTCTTTCCCCTCTTTCTATTATGCACATCATATTATTAAACAGAAGAAACTATTCCCCAACAACACCAAAGAATGTAGAGCTCACTACTCTTCTCTTTTTAAGTTGAAGTCATTATGTTTACTATTCCTCAGACATTCACTTCTGGTGTCTTCTGTTAAATAATGTTATCTATCTTGTCCTTTGATTCTTTTGACATTTACACTTACAAAGTCTGTGCTCAGAAGCTATAATGTCGTGATAAAAATTACCCAAAATTATGGAATAATTAGGATTTATTTTGTATGATGTAAATGTGTGTATATCTTTATCTATCTGTGACCACTTACAATAATGGCAGAACCTACTGTCCAAAGAGGAGTCCTCAGTATCACAAGCAGGAAAGCCCCCAGCTACTAGACAAAACCACCCAGAGTTGCCTAGGAAGACAGGCCAGACAATCAGCTTCTGAAAGGTTGTAGCACTGAAAACCCTTAGAGCACACATGCGGTCGCCGTCAGTTGGCATCAGCTCAAATGTCACTAATAACAACAAGTGTCCAATGGGAGATGGCTACATTAGAGTTCAGTTCCGAGAAAAATGTCTTTCTAATACAATCATAAGATAAAGTCGTTTTCAAGAATTATTTTAAAAAGAGGTAACTAATTACAACTAACTCTTATTCAAGGAAATAACAAAGCATCTTCTTCAGCATAAGAAACACTTACGACGTATGAAGCTTTTGATATATAGAAAGAAAAAAGAGTTGAAGAAAAAAGTTAGTGGATATATCTAAATGAGTATGGTTATATATTGACTAGATATTATCCATGATAAGACATTAGTAATATAGATTCCAATTTGAAAATGCATATTTGTATTAGAATACAGGAGCGCTGGCGGCACAGTCATTAAGAGCTCGACTGCTAACCGAAAGTTCGGCAGTTCGAATCCACCAGCTGCCCTGTGGAAACCCTATGGGGCAGTTCTACTCTGTCCTGTATGGTCTCTATGAGTCAGAATCCACTCATCGGCAATAGTTACTGGTATTAGAATGCAAATGAGCAAATGTAGCAACAAGGATGAAATACAGGTAGAAAGTAATAAGGTCTTTTCATTGCTCGAGAAGTTTTAAAAATAATAATTTGTTAGAATTTAATGAGTAAAGTGTGAGTGTAGTAAAAATGTAGAGCACCATTACAAGAATAGTTAACAGCACATTGAATTATAAAGGAAAGTGGAACAAGAAAA